GAAACAGTGTGGGGAGGGAATTTGGGGCCTTAAGGAATACGTGGTATGTTTCAGAATGAGGGTCATGTCGTTGTTATATTTTCCAGCCAATTGGAGTAGAGTACGCATTAAGGGCAGAAATGTTTAGTGTTGGAGAGCATACAACAGGCTAAAGGCTAAATTGAAATAAATAATCATTGAAGGTGATTCAAAAGCAGTAATAGGTTGACTGTTGAATGACAAGGGAGCACTGTGCAGGTATATAAGTGAAATTAAGAAGTTTAGATGGTTGATTAGCAACTTCCAAGTGAAAATTCAATGGGTGCGAAGATCACCAGATTCTATGGCTGGTGCCTTAGCAAAACAAGGGGTTGACAGAAATCAGATGTTTTGGGGTAAATTGTAAATCAAACAAGGGTAATGATATGGGTAAGGTAGTAGGGACTACCTATTGTATTGGCTGGATGTACATCTTGTGCACATTTTCTCATAATTTATAAAATTTATTTAAGGTTACTTATAAAAAGAAAAGAAAATAAATTGGCAATCATTCTGCTCTTCAAGCACCACTTCTGGATTGGAATCCAGTGGTATGCTTGATCAACATGTTTGAGATTAGTAAAGCTAATTTTTGTTTGTTGATTGGTAAGTCTTATTTACTTGTCTATTGATGTGATGTTCAAGTGACAGGTAAGTACTAGCAGAACCATCTAGTTTACCCCTTATATTTGTTGTTTGGTATGAGACTTGCAGGAAACACTAGAAATACAAATCTGTTGAATTGTTACCATTGATTAACCTCTAGAAATAAATATGAAGTACATCTTTACTACATTGGTCCATACAAATAAAAATCATGACCTTCTTGGCCAATACTACATCAAACCCATCAAACAAGCTTCCTTCCTTTAAACATGGTAACCACAATCGAACAGTAATGGAAGGCAGCAAACCAGAAGAAAAAGAAAAGAGAAGACAAAAGAGAAGGGAGAGAGAGGAAGGAGAAAGGAGAAAAGGGCCCGAGAGAAAGAGAGCACAGTCAAACTGATAGAGAAGAGATTAAAAGAGTCTAACTCTCTTAACCAGTCGGTCCACTACTTATATTAATTAAAGTTGTGTTTATATAAAAAAACCTGTTTATGATAAATTCTGGACAGGAATACCCTTCATATGAGAAAAGGAAAGACAAAGCCATCCTACAGCCCCTAATACAAGAAATCTACTCTCCTTAACACTTTCAAACATCTCCACTATTGGATCCTACATGGCTATCGATCAATAATTGGCCTCCAAAGGTAGCCCCCAGTATCTTGATGAAGGCCTCCCCACCCATTGTACCGTCAAGTTCATACTTCATGTTAGCCATTTATGTTGCCAAGTTTGCTAGACCCAAGAGGGGGGTGAATTGGAACTAAGTGCAGGAGAATGAAGACTTAGTGTGTGCAATTGTTCAATGTTGCAGTTGAACAAAGTGAATGAACAACTCAAGTAACCGCAATTAATGACTTGCAACTGAAATATAAATGAACAAGACGAAGTTTTTCTTTTGATAGGAAATGGTAACTTTCATTAAGAAATAAACAAGTTAAACAAGATAATTACATCTCCAGCATTCCAAAGCTGAAATGCTGACCCACATTCATAACCACTGTTACAAGGCAGCCCACAAAAGTTCACTCCTGTTTGATCCTTGTTTGGCTAGAGCATCAGCCATCCCATTTTCTGTTCTTCTAACCCATTGGAAGTTTGCTCCAACTTTCCTTGCAAGGCACCAGACTTCTCTCATAACTTAACTGTGGTTCCAGATTCCCAAACTTCCAGATTTCATCCAGTCTATTACTAATCTTGAGTCCCCTACTACTTCAATCGGTTGTAGTCCTGTCTGTTTAGCCAGTCTCAGACCTTGCAGCAGTGCTAATACCTCAGCTCTTAATGAATCACCCACTCCTATAGGCCCTGAAAATAGAGCTAGAATTTTTCCTTCCCCGTCTCCAAAGACTCCCCCTACACCTGAGGGCCCCGGGTTACCAAGGGAGCTTCCATCAAAATTGGACTTTATTTTTTGTTTTGTAGAGGCTGCCCAACTCTCTTGAATTGTTGGGATATATCTTTAAGAGTTGGCTACTGTATTCCAGACCCTGATTATATCATCCACTGTGAATTCCTTAAATAACTCATCTGCTTTTACCCAATGCACTATCTTGATAGTGATCCAATCAACCAAGTCCTCCAAACTGATCATAAGACTGCAGCTCTTGTGGTTTTCCATAACATCCTTCCCCTTTTCTTGGGTTGTCTAAAGAAAACCACTCCCAAATAAATGATATAAAAGTTCAGAAAATTAGCAGGTGTTCAGAATTCTCACCACAAGCAAAGCAAAGGGAGCACACATGAGGGGAAAGGCACTGATTTGGCCTTCTATTTTGTAATACATCACAGGTATTAATTTTTTCCGGAGTAATCTTACTCCAATTCAAACCGGTTAACTAAAGCTTTAAGCTACTCCATTTCCTTCCTTTCCCCCTCACGAACGAGAATTAAATCATCCACAAATTGCAAGTGAGTAATCATCACACCCTCCCTCCCCACTTTCCACACTTTTAGCAAGTTCCTAGCATCGGCCTTAGCAATCATAACACTCAATACATCGGCAACCAATGTAAAAAGAAAGAGGGATAAAGGGTTTCCTTTCCTTAAGCATCTTTTCTCCGGAAAAAAAAATAAATCTATAGCCACCCCACTTACCAGAATAGAGTAGTGACAAGTTGAAATACACCCTTTTACCCATCTATACCACCTCTCTCCGAAGCCACTACACATTAGGACTTCCAGAAGAAACTCCCATTCCACCAAATCATAAGCCTTCTCTAAATCTAGTTTACATAACACCCCTTTCTCTTTTCCTTTTTTTATATTCCACACACTCATTTGCAATCAGGATTTGATCTACGATTTATCCTTGAGGCCAAAACCTTTATTATGATTTTATACATGCTCCCGACCAAGTTAATTGGTTTAAAATCCTTCGGTTGACTAGCCTCCGATTTCTTTGGGACCAATGAAATAAATGTGGCATTTGCTCCCGAATTGATTTTCCCTCTTTCAAAGAATTCCTCAAAGACCTCCATTAGATCACCTTCTAAAATCTCCCAACAATCCTGATAGAAGGCCATCAAAAAACCATCCGGTCCTGGAGCATTTGATCTGCCCATCGAAAAACTTGCTTCCCTTACCTCTTTTACCTCAAATCTTCTCTCCAAGGATTCCATTAATTGCCTATGCCCTGTTTGCCACTCTAGATCTTGTAGGCTCTCTCTTCCTCCTCTCGGTTTGTTATAGATGGCTTTAAAGTGGTGTACAAAAGCCTTTGCAATAACCACTTCCTCAGTTAGCATTATCCCATTCCACTCCAAAGCATGAATTGTATTTTTCCTCCTCCCATTTGCCAGCACCTGGAAGAACTTCAAATTTCTATCCCTTTCTTTGAGCCATTTGCATCTTGACTTTTGCCTCCACATTATCTCTTCCTTTCTTAAGGTTTCTTCCAATTCTTTTTTTAGGTTCCATCTTTCTTCTCTTCCTTCCACCCCTAATCTTCTTTCAGCCTCTTCTTCCATTTTCACATGGTTGTCACACCTTTCTTCCTCTTCTCACATATCTTCATAGGCTAAGGAATACAGTCATTTTTTTACCATTATTTGAACGATGAAGCTCATTAATCCTCTATTGGTAGAATTTGAAATGTTTCTCAACTTGCTTAAAACCATTTTCTAAGGAGGATAGAAACATTGCAGTTCAAATGGTTGAATAGAAATCACATGAGAAGTTTTTCTTCATGTTTCGATCGACAAAATACGAGCTGGTAGTCAACTCATAAGCTCCCAAGTGACTGCTATCAAGAGTAGTCAACTATAGGTTCAAGGGTAATTGACTATAGAGTGACTTTGCTCTCTGTTGTCAAGGGTGGTCGACTAAATGCACCAACAGCATTTTACAATGCAAAGTAATCTACTACTTTCTCCTAGTAGTCTACTACTTCGACAGCTCCAACCTTAGAACACTTAGAGACTTCATTCCAAGGCTTGGGAATTATTACATTTTTAACTCAATTAAAATCTAGGAAAGCTCAAGAACCAGACCCAACTTTAGCCATTGGTCTCTAGATTGGTTAACCAAGTATGGTTTCATTCAAGCCCATGTTGTATATCTTGCACCGGTTGCATCAAGTCCTAAAAAGGTGAAAACAAACTTTAGTACTTTGGAGCTTGATGTCTTCTTTTTCTTCTTCCTTTGGTAACAAATCTTCCTTTGTAAATGGTGCTTGATGACTTCATTTTATTATTTGAATTATCATCTTCTTTGGAGAGACTTAAAGTGTCTTCACTGCATCATGAGAATCAACTACCCTTCCTTGTCTCATGTAAATAAATTTTGTTCATCTTTTTAAGCTCAAATGAGGAACGTCAACTGTCCTTCCTTGCCTCATGTAAATAGTTTCTTCTTCATCTTTGTTAGGCTCAAATGAGGATAGTTTCTCTACAGGTACAAATTTTTCAAACCATTAGTACTCTCAATGAGTTTGTTATCATCAAAACACATATGAGCAACAATTTAAACAGATCTAGTGGCCTGGTCTTGTTGTAGTAATCATCATTCTCTATGAATAAATTACTTTACCTTTTTCCAAAAAAAAAAAAAAAAACTTCTTGATCCCATTCCTATAACACCAGGTAACCTTGTTGGGCAAGAGAAACCACTTCAAAGCATTCAAAAAGTATCTTTCTAGTCTGAAATGTCAGATACTTTATTGGTTTTCTTTTCCTCCAAATATGAAAAATATATTGTTGAACTTATTAAACCTGAAAAAAGTACACAAAAAAATTTCCACATTTGAATACCCAACATCACTAGATTTAAGACCCAAAATCATTCTATTCTATAATCCAAAACCAACAATTCATTATGCAAAGCAAGCTTTGATTTTTATCAAATTTTAAATCTAGCCAGTAGTCAACTTTTACCTGTTACAGTAGTATACAGCATTCTCAGAAAGAGCAATTGCACAAGTGTAGAGCTCAATTGCTTCAGAGTATGAATTTGACTGCATTGCCCGGTTGCCTGGAGAAGGAAAAAAACATGCTTATAGAGACAATTGAGACTATGAAGATATACTGGCATAAATAATTATACATTTTTCAACATCCTATAATCAACAATCACAGGACCAAGAGGACAAGAGACAAAACACATATAGGTAGTGTTACCTAGGTAAGAGGCACAAATTCCAAGTGTCCAGGTGTCAAGAGGTGTCTGGCACATGGACTTCTAAAATTCCCAACACTGGAACATGGCTATACATAAACATATATAATAAGTAAAAGCTTAATTAGAAATAGAAAAGCATATAGACGACCTTTCTAGCCATATGAAAAACACATATGAATAGTGCCACTAGGTTGAATACTTAGATCAGTAGTAATAAGTATAGCCCATGCATTAGCAATTTAGCATCAACAAGAGGCTGGAGTGTCGAATTAGCAAATAAATTATTATATTTTATAGATAGCTATATCAAAGAGATAATATTATTAAAAGAAAACAAAGAAAAGTACGATTATCTAATCCAAAACAAAAACAGACACCAAGGCTATGTTTTGCTTGAAGGAAAAGGTAGGGAAAGGAAGGGAAAGGTGACCTTGTATAGGTTTCCCCACCTTTCCCTTCATTTTCCTACTTTTTCCTTCAAACCAAACACAGCCCAAAGGTTTCCCAAAGGAGAACACCAAGAAAAAATAGCTACACAACCAAAAATGAGTAGCTTCTGAACATGGGTTCTAAGTCTAAGAATGRTAACTTTATGCAAAAAAAAGGCTAAAGATTAGGCATGGATCCATGCACCCCTCCCAAGACAGAGCTAGGACCAGCATTTGGCAATGGCCTTTTTTCCATTGAAGATTGTGTATGAGGTGTTATATCTAAGTTTCCATCATTTTTTAATAAATAAAAAGAAAAATTTATTGAAATAAAAGTACATCTTAGGGTGATGAGGGATTACCAACCATACAAGCATACAAAAGAGAAAAATAACAAAATAGCTCAAAAGTACAAAGATTGGTCCCCTCTTTGAGACCAAAAACCATTTCCAAGTGCTTCCTTTAAGACTCCCTCAAGTTCTGGTAAAATTAAAATATTTTTTTCCACAAATAACAGCAATTTGGCCCCCTCTTTGAGATTTTTCTTCAAAGATACTTCTACTTCTCTCCTTTCAAATCTCCCAACAAATAGAAAAAGGAACACAGTTCCAAGCTATCCTCACCTTCATATTCCCTCTTAATGTAAGCCAACAAGCAAAGATTACTCGGGATCTTGGCTCCCAAATGTCAATGTTAAAGAGACCAAAAAGAAGCCCCATATGTACTTTGAATAGCAACATCCAAAGCACAAGCACACACATTCTTTTCAGCAGCCCCACATAAGCAGCATCTCCCAGCCAGCTGAATTCCTCTATTTTTTATGTGATCTTGCGTAAGAATGCTATCCAGTGCCACTAACCATGCAAATGCCTCCACTCTAGGAAGGATGGGCTTTCCCCAAACTCCTTTCACCTCCAACCTCGACCTAATTCCGTGAAAGACCACTATAAAAATGTTTGTCGAGTAGGCATCATTCATGGATTCCTTCCACCTATTGCATCTTCATAAGGTCAAGGGTACAAATCACAGAACCTACTAACCTCCCACCCAATCCTCTCCCCAAAACTATAGTTCAACCATCTCCAACCTTAAAGGATACAAAGTTTAAGAAGGCTGACTGAAAACTCAATTCCTTTCCAAACATATATCTCCGTATGATGACTTCACCCCTTATTTACATGCCACTACCTTTCTCGAAAGAGCATTCCTTTCTACCCCAAATCTCCATAGCCATTTACCCAAGAGTGCCTTGTTGAATAATCTCACTTTTCTTATCCCTAAACCGCTATCTTTTTTATATATACACACCCAATCACATTTTACTAAGCGATACTTCTTTTCAAACCCTTTAATGCCCAAAAGAAAATCCCTGTGCATCTTCTCAATTGGGTTTGCAACCGATGCTGGAACTTTCAGCAGACAAATAATACACTGGTAGGTTAGGCAAGATACTTTATTCATGTGATTCTTCCACCAAGAGAGATATTTCCCTTTCCACCCTGCCAACCTTTGATCAATTCTGTCCAAAACGGGCAGCCAAGTAGACGAAAATGAAGCTTTTGCACCTATTGGAAGCCCCAAAATAAGTGAATAAAAATTCCCCCACCAAACATCCCAAAATACTTAAATTGGTTTAGGCTTAGATTTTACCATTCCTTTAGGCTGTGTTTGGTTTTAAAGAAAAGGCAGGAAAGATAGGGAACCTATACAAGGTTTGTATAGATTTTCCTACCATTCTTTCAAATCTGTGAATAAATCGATTAGCCCTAGATTAGTTCTAGGTAAGAAGAAGAAGAAGAAGAAGAAGAAGGAGAAAGAGAGAAAGAGAAGAAGAAAGGGTTCGTTCTAGAGAAAAAAAGTCACTCTCCCCTAGTCGACCCACTTGTATTTATATTGTATATATGCTGAATTACAAAAGACTGTATTGTCCCTCATTAAGTATGGGACACAACTTAAACAAAACAGACTATTCACTCTCAACTAGTTAGACAAATGACCAAAATACCCTTGTACTGTCGACTCTAACAAAACCCAATACAGTATTAGTGAAAATATCAGACAGATGCATAAATAAAAAGTGGTAGGCAAACTTCTCTATATACTACTACTCTCTCTCGCTCTCTAATAGAGTGTTAATCAACCTCAATATGTTTAGTTCAATCATGTAGTATAGGATTATGTGCAATGTTAATGAAAGCCTAGTTATAGCAATATAGCATCGACAATTAAGTGTGACTTTAACCACCGGGCTTCAAATACACCATGGGTCAGTGTAATATTTTACCTCTGCATTGGAACAAGCAAAAACACTTATAGAGTACTACTAACTAATGCACAATAGCTAGAAGTAGGCTACCTATCATTTTAACATCCATCTAATATAAAGGCCATGAAAATAGATGGAAGCAAGTGACAATAAAACTCTTATAGAGTACATCTTAGCTGTTAGAGCAAAAGTTAACCAACACCATAAGTTTGTGTATAACCTTTTTACTTCCAATTGAGCCTAGTACCTTCCTTTTGTTCCATTAGCATTATATTTCACTGTAAACAGCCATCTAAATTCACAGATGAATACAAGAATTGATATGCAATTAGTGCAAAAAACCTAACAATAGAAACTGAAAGTATAATGGAAGAGAGAATGGGAAGAATGTACAAAACGTTGTGTTGACATTCCTCTTATATTTATACTAAAAGTTAAAACAAGCGCAATGACCATAGTACCACTGGCTGCCCATGTCAAGAATTAAAAACAGCAATTTTACAAAAACTATAAGAGAACAATAATAGCAATAATAAATAAAGATATGAACCATAAAAGAATCTAAACTAATTTCTCAACATATACAGGAACATACACAAAATTTGAGAGTAATGGCATCCTTTCAGATCCCACTAAGCGGACTCTTTAACACGACCATGTTATGACAAATAATGTGTTCTTGTCAAGCTTATTGTCAGTTCATCTATTGATCAAATAAGTGTAAGATTTACCTTGGGATTTTAAAGTCTCAGCCAGGGTCTTCTGATTAACAATCTGGCATCCAGCTCTTTCCATTTCCTGATATGACAAATAATGTGTTCTTGTCAAGCACAGTGCAAGGAGATGAAATAAGTAACAAAAACTTGGTCAACAAGAAAAGTATAATAAGTATGATAGATTGACCAGCAAAATTTTTCAACTACTATCAAGTCTTAGAAGAGAAAGAACCCGAATAAGACAAAAGGGAGGAAAGTTCTAAATCCATAACATAGGAATATAGGATAATGCACCAATTTAATTGGTGATACTTATGCTGCAATAGAGTTCAAATAACCAAAATTGTGCAAGATCGACAACAAAAAAATAATAACGAAACCAAAATGAAGGCCATATCCAAAATAAGCTGCTAATTTTTTTTTTTTTTTTGGTATTCGGTGCTATGCACCATTAATAACTCCCCCAAAGTGCTGGTTGCGGAATTTGGTTCCGCTTCAAATCTTAATAGAATTCTCTTTGTTATTTATCATAAAAGAAAGAAATGGCAAATATTTGAGACTTAAAACAGGAGGATTACTTGACTTTCAAGTATATCATGAAGCCAATAAAGTTGATCAACTAGCCAGATTGGTAGCAAATAGTCAGTTATATGAGATCTTTCATAACATAACACATCTTCCAAAGAAGGCATGCCAGAAACTGGACACTTTAGTACTTAGTTACATCTTCTACTTGGCTTTTTGAAATAAATACCAGGATAAAAGTACTGGAGACTACTTTCAAAAGTCCAACATTGGAAATGGAAGCAGGCATAGAAGTAAAGAAATGCCAGGAAAGGCTCTAGTGAACTAATTTTGTAAACACAATTTTATTCCCAGATTATTTATTTATTTATTTTTGGTTACTAGTTAGATGCATTGGCTCTTATGGTTATTGAGATTAGAGTTCAGTCAAGGACAAGTTCATATCTAGATGGCTAGTCAACTATAGGTTTGGGATTGTGGTTAGGCTAGGCCTTTGTAATTGTGGGGGTCAAACTTAGGCCTAGATTCCTCTTCTCCTCAATCTATCTCTCCAACTGTTATTGATTATTGATCTTCAATAAATTTTGTTATCAGTCAAAATCAGAAAGGAAAAGCTCCCACCTTCAAAAAGAAGCTCTCGTAAGTGTTACATATCTTTAATCAGAGGGTTAGGAGTTAGAGAAACATCATGTTTTTTTATTGGAAACGGTAACTTTCATTAAATTAAAGGATAACCTAGTACAGCTGTCACCTTCAAAGGCAAGGTGACCCCTCGATATAAAACAATTACAAACATGCCCAGAAAAGATTTTCCCCACTAACTCCTTGTTTAGCTAAGGTATCGGCCATTGCATTGGCTGACCTCCTAGTCCATTTAAAATGTGCTTCAAGCTCCCTTGTTAGGTACAATATTTCCCTTACAGGCTGTCTAAGAGACCAAGTGTTCAAACTGTTTGTTTGCATCCAACCTACTACCAGTTTCAAATCTCCCCCCACTTCTAATCATTGAAAACCCATTGTTTAGCCAATCGCACCCCCTACAGGAGTGCCAAAACTTCTGCTCCAACTGCGTCCCCCAAACCTCTCAGGCCAGAGAACATGGCTAGGACTCTTCCTTCCCCATCTCTAGAAACACCCCCAATTCCAGAGGGGCCAGGATTACCTACAAAGCTGCAGTCAAAATTCAACTTCACACCAAAAAGTAGAGGGGACCAATCCTCTTGAAGAGTAATAGAAGAGAAGGACGAGCTCGCTACTGTGCTCCAACCTCTAAACATATCATCTACAGAGAAGTCCTTGAACAGATCCAATGATTTCAGCCAATGTATAGCCTTGATGGTGATTCCTTCTATGAGTTCATGTGTTGTTTTTCTTGCCCTTGGAAAATTCTTTTACTTCTCTCTTCCCACACTGCCCAAATAATTGCTGCCCTCATTGTTCTACACATCACCCTTCTTTTCTTTGGTTGTCAGAAGAAACAAGAGTAAAAAATATCTGCCATGCTTGTGGGAGGATTCTACCTACACCTAGAGAGAGAGGAGAACCAATCCCAAATAAGAGTAACAAAAGGACAGGAGATTAGTAGATGATTAACTATCTCACCACTCTTCAAGCAAAGGCTACAAACATGCGGTGATAAGCACCGGTTTGGTCTTTTGCTTTGAAGCACATCCAAAGTGTTAATTTTTCGGAGAACCACTTCCCAACAAAAGGCCCTCACTTTTGGAGGTACAAGACAACACCATAATTCTTTTACTGAAAAGTAGGAAGCCAAGTAAGAAGATAAAGAAGTACCTTTTTTATTCTCGAGGCTAACACCTTAGAGATTATCTTATACATGCTACCAATCAGACTAATGGGTCTAAAGTCCTTTGGGTGACTTGCATCCACCTTTTTGGGAATCAAAGCTATATATGTAGCATTAGCACCTGAATTCATCTTACCTCTCAAAGAATTCTAAGAACACCTCCAACAAGTTACCACCTATGATTTCCCAGCAAATCTCGGTAAAAGGCTATCGTGGAGCCATTTGGACTTGGGGTTTTAGATCTTTCCATTGAAAACAGCATCTTTTGTTTCTTGAACCTCAAAATTTCTTTCTAATTCATCCATTAGTTCTCTACTCCCAGTTTTCCACTCAAATCAGAAATGTCCTCTCTCAATCTGCTTGGATCATCATAAATGGTTTTAAAGTGATCCACAAAGGCTCTTGCTATCTCTTCCTCCCTTGTAAGCACTTCTCCATTCCATTCCAGCCTCTCCACAATATTCTTCCTCTTTCTTCCATTTACCAAGGTATGAAAGAATTTGGTATTCCCATCTCCCTTCTTTAGCCATTTACATCTAGACTTTTGTCTCCAACTTATCTCCTCTATTCTAATGATTTCCTCTAACTCTTGTTTCAATTTCCACCTTTATTTCCTTTATCCTACCCTCAATCATCTCTCTGCTTCCCTTATATCAAATTCTCGAATCCTTTTAGCAATTCATTCCTTTCTTTCTTCCACTCTTCCAAACTCCTCTTTGCTCCTAGCTTTCAGAGCTTGTAGCAGTTTATAGAACCTATACCCTTTCCACCTAAACTCCACCTAATTCTTCCCACCAAAGTTGTACTTTCTTTATAAAATCAGGATGATACAACCACATTTCTCAAACCAAAAAGGACAAGGTCCTCCTATTTCTTCTTGTGAGAGCCTAATTGGATAATGGTTTGAAGTTGGTCTAGGAAGAGCCCTTACCACCAATTCCCTCCAAGCATTCTCCCAATCTTAAGAGAATAAGAATTTATCTAGTTTACAACATAGGGTTTCTTCTTAGAAGTTGACCAAGTAAAATTTGCTTGCAGCATGGCCAGCTCTCTCAATTCAAAGGAATCCACAAGTAGGTTGAATTTCCTCATGCTGGAAGTGGCCCTATGGCTATGATTGGTTGTTTCATTCACAAACCTAATGACGTTAAAATCACCCCCCAAACACCAAGGAGCACTCCATAGACCCCTTATGGCTGCTAGTTCCTGCCAAAACTTTTCCCTTTCCCCATATGAATTAGGCCATAGACATTAGTTAAAGCCCATTCTAACCCGTCCACCTTCCTCCTTAACCATAACTGTAAAGTTATCAATCAGTTCTTCAGTACATTCCATCTCTTCATTCTTCCAAATTGTCATAATGCCCCCCAAAGCTCCCCACGATTGTGCAAAAGCCCAACTTTAACCTCTAGCTGACCACGTACTCCTCACCCATCTTCTATCCACCTCCACCAGCTTTGTCTCTTGACTCGACACAATATCTGGTTTCTCTTTCCTAAAAACTTCCCTAATCACCCTTCTTTTCCTTTGATTTCCCAGACCCCTTAACTCCAACTAATTATCTTCATAGGAAATAATATATGTCAAAACCCTGAGATTACCTTATATTAACCCATTCTTCTTTCCTTTCTCCCTGTACCTCCTTTTCATAGTCAACTCTACACCTAAGCCTCTCCACCTCACTCATCTTCTTTGTTCTTCTCTTTGGTGTCTCTAACTCCTCTTTGCTTGGAGCTTTTCTTGCTCCACTTCCACCTCTTTCTTCTTATGCTTTTTTCTATTCTTTCTTTTTGCCTTTTTAGCTCCCGCCCCACTCTTGCTACCTTCCTTTTCCTTTTCCAAGGATATCAGGTTTGGAGTAATACCTTGCTCCTCCAGTTCGACCTTGGATTGTAGTTCTACCTGTACCAACTGCTCAAAAATCTACATTATTAGCTCCCAAATTCTCTCCCCTTCCTCCTTAGAATCCTCTACAGCCTCGACATCCCCTAACACTTCTGTTGCTTCCATTGACACACTAGGACTAGAAGCTGTTGGACAAGATTTGGTGTCACCTACAGGCTGGACAATCAGGCACAACTTACCAGACCCAAGAAGCGGAAACACAACATACCAGATGTTACAGGCCCGCGAATAGGATCTCGTCACGGGTCGGTCCACGGGGAAAACCTCCTGTTTTCCCTTGTTCCTCCCTTTTCTTGAGGAACCTATCTTGGCGCCTTAATGGTGATTTGTTCAAGAGATCACCAACTCTCCTCTACTCTGTCTTGACTGAGAATTTCGATGCCTCTATTGAATATCATTAGCTCCTTTAAATAGGAGATTACAAGAAGATRAGAATCCCACTTTTAGGAGGACTCCCTACTGATCTATACTACTGAATTTAGATAAGAACACTGAACAGGTAAGACTCCCTACTAGATAAGATAAGACTCTCTACTAGATAAGATAGAACTGTATCTAGCTAGATAAGATAAGCACACTGAATTAGATAAGATGAGAACACTAAGATGAGAACACTGAGTTAATCGCCCATTACTGCTGCTGTCCATCACTGCTGCTGTTAGCGGCTGTAAAAGCATCCACAACACCAGACCCAAGAAGCAATGCTGGAGAGTCAAGCAAAGGAGACTTTCTGATACACGAGGCTTTAAAGGGGGTGATCTCCTCCAAACTAACCTTTGTTGCGCTAAAAGGGGAAGGGAAAACATCTGTAGGTTTGCTTGTTGAGTGTGGAGTACTTGTATACA